TAATATCTCTGGTGGGCAGCAGATTCCACTCTCCGCCCCCCCAACACACACCATGACCTCAGGTTTATGCATAAACTTCCAACCAGACCATTAGCAATAAACACTTTCTACAGAGCTCCCTTCTTTCCCCACACATTCCCAGATGCATGCTATCCTTTCGTTCCTTTTTATACCCAATATTAGTTCAAAGCTCAGTAGAAGTTAGCTATGCTTTTTCCCTTAAATTGTCATTCTAAAAGAGCTCTCAGATCTTCCATCCATGTTCATATTTACACATTATCTCTACTCCTGTTGCTGGTAGTTGTGGGAACAGTCAAGGATCCAGTCATTTCCTGGACAGAATTTGAACACTTGCTCAGTGAACTCTTTTATTTGAGAAACTTGAGGGCTCTCTCAGAGTTTTGGTTTAATGCTGTAAAAGTTCATACTTAGCAAATTTTCCCATTCTGATAAAAAAAAAAAAAGAAGTTACCCAGTGTCTTGTGTACAGATGAACAAGCATGGTGTCATTAACAAAATTATCTGATGAACTCTGCCACAGCAAAGGGTTGCTTGCTTGGTATGGATTTTACTGGCATAGGCTAGTTACACAGTCGAAGGTAGCTAGGATATCTGTTGCTATTAGGGATTAAAACCTTGACTCATTCCAAAACAGATAAATAGTTCAAAATGAAAAAAGAAAGAGAAAGAAAAGAAAGGAAAAGAAGCAAAAGAAAAGAAAATACTTTATGCATTTTTTGTGGGCATTATGGTTTCACATGTCCTTCCTTTTCTGTTATTAGGTCAAATAAAGAAATTGTTAGTGATAATTTGCTCTGGGAACCAGTAAAAATTTCTAAATTATAGGCAGTACTGAAGACCTTAGATGTGTGAAACACTAGATTCTGAGATTAAGACGTCAAGAATAAACAGAAGGACGAAAAACATACTGTAGATAGATAAATAGGTAAAAAGGAAATATCAGTGGGGGAGAAAAAGAGTAAAGGAGAAGAGAGGAGAGGGGAGGAGATAAGAGAGGAAAAAGAAAAGGAGAAAAATATAAACAAATGTTGTCCTTGTGCCTTCAGCTGACATTGTTGCTTGATTACAAGAAATGGTAAGATCCTGGTTTTTCCTTCTCCCCATTCAATGTCTCCAATGGACCTTCCATCATTGTTGTCCTAATGCTGATTTCTTTGCCTCTGATTGGATCATACTTCCAGTATTTTGTCACTAATATCTAAGAATTCTTTATTAAAGTCAAAGCTAAAACAATGATCAAATACTAAATATTTTTGCCACTAGAAGTTTTGATTCAATTATACGTGATTTAAGAAATTAGCATTTTTATAAAGCCAGATCATTCATTTTCTCTGAAAACTTATCATCCTTAAATAAGTCTCATTTGATACTAGTTTTTTGTTAAAACTTGTAAGCTTTATTCAACAATGCCGTGAGGTTTCAATGTCTTTTTAGTAGACTTCAGTATCAAAATGAATTGTCGCCAAGTGTGGTGGCACACAGCTGTAATCACAGCACTCTGGAGTTTGAGGCAAGAGGGTTGCTACACGACCCAGGCCAACTTGGGCTACATAAAGAGACTTGTCTCCGAAAAAATAGTATATCCTCAATATTCTGTGTTCATTTAATCAGAAATGCCTCCTCTCCTATTCCTTTTCTGTTTCTATTCATATAGTAGCTACATACGCTTCTCAAAGTGTTTCGTATATTTTTAAGCAGAACTTTCCACCACCTGGTATTATAAAATGAAGTGCTCTTTAATAAATTGACACACTTGTACTTTCTAATAAGTGATTTAGGACTATAAAATTAAAACTATTCTAACAGAATGCTAAGGTCATGAAAAAAATACACTTATTTTCATGTCTATAGGTTAAAGTTAAAAGAAAATGTATGAATAGCTAATATAAGGTTCACTGTATTAATAACAGGTATGTCTTGGTTAGTTTCCTCATTTCTGAGACAACATTTTCAACTTAAAGGAAGGAGAGTTTTATTTTGACTAATCTGTTTTTAGAGGTTTCCTGGCTCCAGGGCGGAAAAAGAATAAAGGAAGGGCATAGGCAGAGGAAAGTTGCCTAAATGACTGGCCAGAAAGCAGAGACAGAGAGGAGAGCTGAGGAGTGAGGCATACACTTCCGGGTCAGGCCTCTGTGACCTGTCTCTTTTGATCTGGCCCTATATCCTACCAACACATTTATCTATAGCACCCTCATAATTCAATCATCTATCAAGAACCCTACCTATGAGCATATGCAGCTTGGAAGGGGTCCTTTAGATTTAAATCATAACATGATTTTAATTTTTTATACATTGGTGTTAGGACATTATAGAACAAATACTCTGAGGCAAACCTAAAGTGTGGAAAATACAGATACCAAAGATATCTGCCCCAGGTGAGCTTATAGTTGATAGGGAGATGGACAGACAGTTAATAACATGCTTGAATAGATAATTGCAGTGTGAGGATGATGCATATATGATTGCACTGGGTGCTCTCAGGGAATAGAAACAACCTAACATGGATATAGTGGCAGTTAAGCATCTCTGGAGAGGTGACAGCAACTGGTTTTTAGTGGATTGTAAGGATGGAATGAAGGATGGATACAATAAATAGTAAGGAGAGAAAGAGGAGTCCAGTCAATCAAAACAAGACTAATGTAGGATATTTTAAAGTACAGTAGGTAGATAACATGATATGGCTAATGCACAAATTTCTATTGAGCAGGGGAGGAGAAATACAAGATAAATGAGATTGAACAATGGGGCACACTTATGTGTAGAATGATAACAATAACAACATTCTGTGGGTACTAGAAGTTGGAGACAATAAAATGGTGATACCTATTCTCCATAAGTGTAAGAACTATAGTCAAACAAATTTTGAATATGTGTCTCTGTAGGATCAACTTTAATTGCTTCATTCTCTGTGTGAGTAAATTTTCACTGTATATGAAAAATACCCATAGAAAAAAAGGAATGATCATTACAGATACGAGATATTATTAGCAGCCAGAAACTGGAAAAATTTCCTGGTTCTAAACCACAAGTTCTCTTTTCACCAATATTTTCTTATTCAAGCGATATATATATATATATATATAATTAAGTTTCTTGGTACATTTTACATATACCTAACTATCAGGCTCATCACAAAGAATTTGTACCTCTATATATCTTAATTCTTCTTTATTTTTTTCCACTCTACCCTCTCCCCTTAATCCTTTTTCCCCTCTTATTTATAAAAACTTGGTTTGCATTTTTTCCTTCTTTTCTCATTTTTTTCTTTTTTCTTTCTTCCCTCTCTAGGTCCTCTTCCCACTTGAATATATTTTTTTCCTATTTCACAATATCTATTATACTTTTTGGTCCTTATTTACACTTTTGGTATCTCACACTAGAATAATAATGCAATATTTACTGATGTGTGTTTGATTTATTTCACTTAAGAATACTTCTAAGTCCTATTCCTTGTCTTTTATAGGTAAATGTAGTCTTCCATATTTTCTATTTTTATTGTTCTTAAAATGGATATTCTGCTTTAAACTTCATTCTATAGATTCTAACTAGAATTATGATGTATTTTGCTAATATTCTTATTGATTTATATCCCTCTTCAAAAGGTCCCATGATGGTCATGGTTTGGAAAACTCTAGATTCAAAGTTATGTCAGTAAGATGTCAGAACAGGAAAGCCTGAACTCTGCTATATGGACACATGAGTTCCACAGTGACATATACCTTTGTTCATTGGTGAGACACCAAAAAACTGGTTGTTAAGAGAGAGCTCTTTTTAAACCTTTATACAGGTAAAATTCTACACTATTTGTAGTACACACACACACACACACACACACACACACACACACACACCACATACAGACACATACCCTAGGTTCAGGCACCATGGTGAAATCATATTATTATTCTCTTAATGTAAGAGGCATTCATTTATTGAACACTTATTTACTTCTTGTAGAGCCTTATGCTTTCTTGGTACAATAGTGAACAAGTTCCTTTTAGCTCATGATTCATAATGTAAAATAAAGTTAGATGACAATACATTTTATAAATAAGGAACAAGCATCTTCCATATATTTGCAGCAAGTGAAACACATGTGCATATTCATCTTTGCTTTTTCTTTTGTTTCTGCAGAATTTTACCCTGTAGATTAAAGGCGGCCCAGGTGAGGCTGGGAGACCACCCTTCCTCCATCCACATGAATCTGGGCAACACCCAAGGCCAATTCTCCTTCCGTTTTCCCAAGAGGAATAAAAAAAAAAAAAGACTCAGGAAATATCAAAAGCTACAGGCTAGAGCAGACACACATTGGATCCCATGCATATGGTCTGGTCTTTAATAATCTTTGCCTGCTTGAACTTTGTTCATATATAGGGACATGTGATTAAACCAGAGCACAGAGTTAATGCACACTAGGGTGCCCTTTGGATGACTCAGCACCCTGCCAATCATTTCTGTCAATCATGTCCTGTGACATAACAGGACAAGAGAGACCTAGGGCAGGGTGTGCATCTTATAAAATCTGAGAGCCTCGTTTATCTTCCTTCCTCCTACTCCCCTGGGGCCACGGCAACCACTTTTCTGTCCATGCCACTGCTTTGATTCTGTTGACAGGGACCTGCCCTGTGCACCCATTCTCCTATTTTCTACAAATGCAGTTCAATCTCTGGGTGTATACTTGCTGTTCTTTGCTCGCCTTCCACGAGGATCTGGAATCCGTCTCTCACCAGCAACACATGGTGTCACGAGGAGAGAGAAACGTCAACACAAGATCAATTATGATAGATTATTATTTGCTACTAAAATGAAATTAAGTTCTGCTACTTTTCTCAATTATCACAAATTTTTGAAAATTTAAATATTTTTTATATGCAGCATGACACTCTTATACATCTATAGTACCTATATTTACTCATCTTTCCAAAAATAACTACTTTGTAACTTTTTGCTATCCTTAACAATTTTGTGAGTGTACTTACTCAAATCGTAAAACCCTTGAGCTTCTATATTTGTTCCTCAGATTACTTGATTGAAAGATCGCATCTATCTAAAAAAGGTTTAAAAAGTGTTTTACATTTGAAAATGTATATTAAATTGAATATTTTAACTTTTATCAAGTACAAATGTTATGCTTAAATAGGGGAAATTTTCTTCATGATGATGAAGGATTCATTAAAGAATATTGAAAATATTAGCTGTGTTTGCTAATTTTTATCATAGTGAGAAAATTTGACCACTGTATGTCTTAGCAAGAAGTTAATGAAATTATGTTATGAAATTATAAACCAACTGAAAAGACAGTCTCCTACCATTTGCTGAAGGTCAAAAGCAAGAATTTTGTAATCCACTGAGCGTTTGTCTTGTAAACTAACATTATATGTAGCTCCGGATATTATTTTAAACATCCCTCTGGTTTCATGACCTTCTTCAAATGCTTCATCTAGATGAATTAATAAAAAATAAAACGGTGAATTATAAACAGCAGATGCCCTGCACAATGTGATGAAGACCTATAGGTAAAGTTCTTACTCGACACATTGACTTTAGAGCTCTTGGTTTTTCTCTGCAAATTTTTGTTTCAAAATCAGCCGCTTTCTTTTTATCTTTTTGTTACCTAAATATTTTAAAATACTAAAAAGGTAGTTAATTTTTATTTTATTATTTCTTTTTCTTTTCCTTGAAATATAATACACATTATAAGATTTTGAGAAATTGGCATTCCTCTTGGAAGACACAAGGCCTAGTCAACTGCCACTTCCATTAATGGGAAGTGATTTAGGAAAACATGGTGAGAAAGGGACCATTAAAACTTCTATGGTTGCTTTCCTGTGTTTCTTGAATCCCTACTCTTCATGAACACTGCTGATTTTCTGCAGGTGGATTGCTGTGAAGATTTCAGTTTGTGTGTTACTTTGAAACATATCTTTGAAGCTACCTGTTGCGTTTTAGTAATTATAAATTTGGCATGTTTAAACAGTTGGCACTATCTTTATTGAAGTTATTAAGGATAGTGTAGAAAATATGTCACAAAAACAGTGAGGAAGTGGTAAGCAAACTGCATAATCCTGTTACCAGAATATTTTTCTTTTACATACATTTATATGTAAAGTACAGAGATTGAACTGAAAAACCTAATGACGAGATCATTAGTAAATATAATAACAATGATATACAATTCTCACACTGGCAAGATGTTGTTTTTTGTTTTCTACAATAGGGAAACTGGAATTTAGAATGAATGAGAATTTTCCAAATTATGAAAGATATTAAGTGACAGATTTAGAATTTGGACATAGAAGTGCCAAAGTCTTTCAGGCACCAAATTTTTCAATCCAGAACACCAGATATAACATCAAACAATAAGCTTGCGCTCAGGCTAAGCAGTTATTATTGCATAATTCATGTAACTGATTGTTATTTGTACTATTTCGTTTTTAAATAGTCAAAATTATTTTTAAATTTCCTTGTTTAAATGTGGAAACTAAGAAAGACTGAAGAACTGTCATAAAGTAGAGAAGACAGAGGAATGTGAAAACTAAATCCTATGCAGGAAACTTCATCGAATCCTAAACATTAGAATAAATATGAAAAAATTAGTATGGTTCAGTTAATGGTATGTTAACAATGTTAATATCTACCTGTGACCATTATTAGAGATATAGGACATATTAATATTGAGAAAATCTGGATGAAGTTTAAGTGAAAGACTGTACAATTTTCAATGTTTTAAAGTTTAAAATTATTTCCAATAAACTATAAAAGCATGTATATTAAAATCATTACAGTATATTCTATATCCTCTGGTACTGTATTATCAATTTAACTCAAATAGCACTTTATAATTAGGTTCCCGATTAAATTTCACTAATGTTTATGAATACTTGTTTTCCATTTTATTTACAAAATAACTATTGCAGGTTTGTTGAGGAGCAACCATTCCAACAGACTCTTCAATAAACTCCACATGGTTACGCACACCATTTGAAGAAGATCAGAGCAGCTACTTTTCCAAGTCTGTGTGAGTGTTCATATGACAACAAAATTTCAAAATATTCTTTTTTTCTAAAATATATTCTAATAGTATGACTATAGTCATACTATTTAAATAAACCAGGAATCATATTGAAATTTTCATATAAAGCTATAACATATTTTAATACTCTAATTCAAAAATTTCTTAGGAATAATCCCAACTCAAAAATTAAGAATTTTCTTAGTAAACTAAAAAAGCACACATAAGAGACCCTACCTATGAATTTTCAGAAAGAGTTTGTCTACATCATAAAAAAATGAACATTTTCTCAGAAAGAATAAATTTTTAATACTTATATTATTGCTACACACCTAATTTATCTTGTAAGTGAAGAAGTGCTAGATAAGAGTGCTACTTCCGGAGCTGGATTATGTAGTTGGGACCCACTTCTGTTATCTATTCATGATGTGTACTTAAGCAAATAGTGCTTAGATTCCTTGTCTCATATTCCTCATTTTTAACATGAAACACTAATTACAGTAACTCATGGGTTTACTGCATTAGAATGATAAATTCCAGCATCTTTGAAAAGCTGATGGCACAGACTAAGATATTGCTGAATGATAATCTTTAAAATTGTTTTTCTATCATTAGTTGCTTCTCAGGTTGAGGTTCTTATCAGTCATTTACATTCAAATTTATCCATACTGTTGCAATTAAAAATTTGGCAATAAAAGAATGAGAATATTTGTCTACGGAAATAATAACTTTCCAATATTTATTGACTTGTCTAGTGAATGATGTTTTAATATCAATAATTTCAAGTCTACCAGAATGAACTCTCATGCTGTGAAACTTACTGCGTTAGACGCTGAATTAAGAAACACCATTATTCACAAAAAGAAGGAAGGAAAGAAAAAAATCACATTAATCTCATGACTCAATTCTAGATTGTTTCAAATTACACATCAGCTGATTTTCTTAATGTTCTATTAAGTACAGACATGCAATTGAATGTAAGAAGAATATTTTGTTATTAAGTCCAGCAATGAATAAAATATACTGACAATACAACTGAGATGAAAGTGTGTACTTACATAGTGAATACCTCAGTATTCAAGTCTATGACCTACCTTTTCCTGATTTCTCGATTACCAGCCAGGACAATGCAATTAAAGCAGCACAGAGCAACAGCAACATGACACACAGAGCTGCAAACATGACTTCATAGGAGCTCAGAGGCTGGTGCCTTGAAGATGCACTTTTTTTGGAGCCCATTCTAGGTTTCTGAAAGCTTGCTAGTTTACAATTTGTGAGAGGATACAGATCTTATGTTCTCTGCATCAAGAAAACTTAATATTACTGCACAAACTCAAGTGCATAATCTTTCAAAATTTTAAGTAAAGCAACGACCAAAGTTACACTCACAGTAGTTAGTGTGAATGTGTTGCAAATGTCCCTTGGTTTGACATCATTATGTTCCTAAATACTAGATATCCTTAGAAGGCTGGTTAATCTTTAAGAAGATATAATTGAGTTGGTTACTATATAGAGTTGTAAATGGTAATCACTCGAACAGCCTATTTGTTGTGGTAAATGAAATTAAATTCAGGTCATAAACAAAAAATGACTAATCATTTTGAGAATGATCAGAAAAATATGAAAATCATAATGGACGAATTAGTCATTAATCACTTGTACTTGATATTTTCAGAGAGTTCTTAACAGATCAACCTTCAGTCCTCTGATTCAAATCCATACAAGGAATTTCTTTTGTTGTATACACTTATAAACATTTTAAAAATCACATACTCAGATTTATAAAGCTTAACTTGTAAACTGCCTCTTTCTATATATATGTATACATAGAATATATATATATATATATATATATATATATACATATATATATATACACATTATTGAAGCAATTAAAGGCTTTGTAACTTTTATTGCATCAATCATGTCAAGTTATGCAAGGTAAAGTAGTATTGATTTTACTTAAAGTCCACTTAAATAAGGTTTCACGTGGCTACGTTTTATTATGGGAGTAACTGACATAGGAGAAATAAAGTTTTTATTTCTAATTTAAAAAAAATACTTTAGGTGGAGTAAATATTGCTCAGTTATCTGGACTTTATTCCATTAAACACTCATAATAGTGGATCTGCCCTATAAAGGGAAAACAGAACTATTAATAGTAATTAAAGTACAAAATGTCACTGGCACATCTATACCTTAGATAGAAACAAGTCCAGGATTTAAAAAAGCTACCAAATAAATAAAACCAAATCTAGTCTGAAGTAACTTGTTTTTTGCTTTGTTACATAAATTTATTTAGATGCAAGCAAGTTCTACATCAGAAATCTTAAATACACTGAAATTGTGGAATATTGTACTTGGCTTGGATGAATTATAAACTCTGTTTGCTTATGATTGAAAAAAGACAGTTGCATATTGTGCTTAATATCTGTTTACAAAAGACAGAATATAAATAAATAAATGCATCATGGAAAATTTTTATTTGAATTAATATTTTCTGTTATATACTATAAAATAGATATGAAATGAGAGACATTTACATTACAGGGAATAATTCTAACAGGCCAGACTCTGATATAATTGGAGACTTGATGTGACTCTTGGATATAGAAAGCCAAGAAAGTGGAACAGTGACTGTCTTCTTTGTATAGTGGAAGCAAAAGCAAACGTTTTCAGTAAATCAAGTAGAATTCCAAATTATACTTCTTTTGACTTTATAGAATAGAGACTGCAGAGTGAGTTCAAGTGTTCTGTTACACATATATGGTAATAATAGATGAGCTATGATAGTCAAATAGAAAATTATTTATTAGGCTTTAGAAACACAATAAGTATTCAAATTAAAAATTCTCTTCAAATGTTGTTTTGTAAATAATTACACATAGTGTATTCAAATAAATGGGTTGAATCCTATATTTTTAAAGATAAGCATGAATACAGAGTGAAATGAACTTCAGGTAAATGCAAAAAAGAAATTATCATGCCTTGTAACATCTTTAAAAGTTATTAAAATAAAATAAGACTTGCCTTATCAGATAAAACTCACTGCAGAATTGTAATAGTAAGAGTATTATATCAATATAATATTAGAAATGTATTTCAGTAAAATATAATAAAGAACACACAAAAAACTAGATTCACTCATGAAAATATCATATAAAAGAAACCAAATGTGGCTATGACCAGATAAAGAAAAAAGTGGGTATTCAACAAATGGTATTGAGTTGAATTCTTACATATATTCAGAAAAATAAAATTAGACACATCTTATAGCATGAATGAAAGTAATGTAGGTGGATTAAGCATGCATAAAAGTGTATAAAATTTAGAAATATATTAGAATGCATTTTTTATGATATCAAGTTTTTAAAAAGGATTAAAAAATAAAAGGAGATCAATATTTATAATTTTATGTAGTAATTATACTAATTTAAAAATATATCAAAAAAGGAAATAAAATACAAAGACACTGAATGGAAGTTCTTTTTCCTGTGTATGTTTTAATTTAGCCGTGCCAATATCCACTACAGCTAATCAATTAAAAAAATCAACAATTTGTAAATAATTTCCACTCATATGTGAATACAAAGAGCAAAAATGAAACTAAAAACACACACAGAAATCCACAGAACTTTTCAGATTCTATTACTTTAGTAATTATAATTATATTACTTTAGTAATTATAGAATTCCAATTAAACCAAAAACATATTATTCTCTTCAAAATACCAGAAAAAAAATAAGAAATCTTAGCATTACTAACATGTGAGAGACCAAATGAAAAAACGAAGTCCCATTCAGCAGTGGAGCCAGCCAACTATGGACTGAAACTTCCATGAACTATCAGCCAATTAAACATTTCCCCGTTTAACTTTGGGTTTTAAGTATTTTGTCTCAATAATGAGAAAAGTAACTTAAACAGAATTTGTACAAAAAGTGTGGTCTTGTGATTGTACCTGACCACGTGGTTTAGGAGCCTGATTCATGGGAAGAATTTGGAAAGTGTCAGAGATGCCAGCTGAAAAAGTAGAGCTAGAATGTGTTAGGCTGCCCTTCATGGGAGATTCTGGTCAGAGCTGATAGAAACCCTGCTCATCCAGATCAGGCTCAGGAGTTTTCTGCTGGAAGAAGTACTGCCTTGGTTGTTAGCTAATTAACTTTGCAGAAGAAATATGAAGGCAGTCTAACATTGAGGAAGTGTGATGACTTCTGTTGGGGCTTTTAGTCAGATTTATGTTGAAAATCAAAAGCAAACAACCAAGCAGAATGATTTAGAACATTTTGAGTTTGACCAGAAAGAAAGTTCCAGTAAAGTTACAGCCTTAACAAGATAGAGCAGAGGAGAAACCGGTTGCTGAAAAGTACTAGTAAAAGAGTCAAGTATTTTAGAAGACAAACCAAAAACAAAAACAAAAACACCCAATCACAATAACTAATGTGACTCCCATCTATACAGACATAAGTATTATAAAGATCAAAGACTTTGCTTTAAGAAGAGAGCCTCAGAACACTATGCTCCAGAATAGTGGCAGCCTAGGGAAATTGTTCCTTGGGATTTAGTTTATTGGCACTTCACTCCCACATCCAAGAGAGAAGGAAGGTTGGCTATTGCTTCAACTAGCAGCAGCCCTTAGCATCATTCATGTAGTGCTGGTTTACAGAAAATTCAAGACTTGTAAGGTCAGGAAGGTTGACACCCAGATTTCAGAAGAAGGCCTGGAAGACCAGGCACTATAACTCTGAGACGGCAGTGTGTGAAGCTGTGAATCTGAAGTCAAAGGTGTACTGGAGACCCCAGAAGTTTGGAGAACCATGGAATCTGGATCATCTATGAATCCAAGGAGGAAAACTGCAAGAGGGAACAGAGCAAGACCAATAGAGGAGCCATGGGGTCTACAACTCCCAGCAATATCATAGGGAGCCACCTAAGCTCTTTGGAGTTCACAATTTGCTACAGATTGTTGGGAGTGTTGGAAGTGGAACTGTGTGATTTAATGTTTGCCCTGCTGAATTTTGGTCTTGCTTTGTTCCTATTTCTTGCTACCCTCCATTTGTAACTTTTTGAATGAAAATATCTATCTCATGCCATTGAATGTTGGAAGTGTTTAACTTTCTTTTCATTTGTGCAGGGGCTTGTCGTTAGAGTTTGCCTTTAATATCAGAGGAGACTTAGCATTGCTGAAAGTGTTAGGGCTTTGGAAATGCTTGCAGGTGGACTGAATTTCTTTTGCATAAAGGATATGCATAATTTTTTGGCAGGGGGAAGGGGCCAAATGTTACAGCTTGTGTTTAAATGTCCCCCAAACCTCATTCGGTCATAGATGGAGCTTTTTTAGAGGTAGCTGTATCTAGAGTGTGCTGCTGGGATTGACTCATGGTGCAGTAATACGATCAAGGGCACTGGGATTAAAAGTGTAAATTCTACCTGCCCAAAGTAACCTGGCTAAGATAAAAGGGATAGAAAGAGTGTAGTCATCCTTTCCTTGTTTTTGCTGTCTTCTCCCTGCGATGAACTGTTTTTCCTCTGTGATATCTCCTTACTATGTGCCACTTTGCCTTACAGCCAACCAAATGTGGACAGAAACCTCTACAAACTGTGAGACAAATAAATCTTTCCCCCTTTAACTTTAGGGGACTGGTATTTTGTCTCAGCAAGGAGAAAACTAACTAGGACAAATGATATAAAAAACAATTTGCTAATATGTAGTAAAATTGAATGCAATTTGACCCTAAAATTATTCTCATTAAACAACTTCTAGAATTTAGCCCATGTAGATGATGAAATAATCTTCATCATAATACTCTTTTACTCTCCACAAAATATATGAAAAATGTTGTGTTGTGTTCATTGGCAAGAAAGTAAAAATAATGAATTGCAGTGTTTTCATAAAATATTATACACAAAATAAAAGTGTATAAAAGATCTATATCTATCTATCTATCTGTCTGTTTGTCTGTCTGTCTATCTATCTATCTATCTATCTATCTATCTATCTATATCATGAATCAAGACAGCAAAATTGTAAAACAAACAAGTTTCAGAAGAATCTATGCAGTAGTAAGCTATTTAGCCTCAAAAAGAAATTCATTTGCTTACTGATAAAGTTATGTATTGTAAAAGTTTATATGGACTTAAGAAATGTTCAACATCTCGGGCCATTGCACAAATACAAATTAAAACAATATTAAGATTCCATTCTATTCCAGAGATAATGGAATCATTAACAAGTACTGATA